ACCACTACGCCCTCCTCGGACAGCCCAAGGGGGTCAAGGAGCAGAAGCCCGGACAGGGGAGCAGGCCCCTCAGGGGGGCACACGAGTCAAGCGTCGAGCTCATCAACCGGGAGAACGTCGCATACCTACCCGGCCCCTAGAAGAGCACAACGCCTACCCGAAGAGCAGCAATTTGCCAGGGGGGTTCTGCCACGATGGAGGACAGGGGCTGAAACCTCGCCGACGGCAGCTATCGCAGCGGGAAGGGGGGAGTTAAGACGCATTAACCGGCCCAAATGGCAGCGACCTTGGTGGAAGTGGTGCGGCACATCCTCCGGGGCACGCTCCATGCCACGTCTGTGAGAAATGAGCTATCGGAGGTGGGGGAACTGCTGGAGGATGTAGTCGCGGACTTTGGCGCCTCTATCAGACTCCGAGACAGCACGGGGATAGCAGAGGGGAGAGACGCGCTCATGGAAGCAGTGAACATCCTGGATGAAATCGTCATGAACTACGACGCGGCACACGACGAGTTCACCATGGATCCAGCGACACTACAAGATGACCTTCTTCGACTGGCACAACAACTCCAGATTGTGGTCCCAGCCCATAACAACCTCTTAGGGGACATCCGGGGAGAACTCCCCTCGCAGAGGCCGTCTTCCAATGCGCAGGGCTCTATGAAGGTTACGGGGACGAGATGGGCCTTATGCAACAACTGGGGGGAGAACGAGGAGAACACCATGTACAGCGACCCCAAACATGGACCGATCTCCTCAGACAGATCAGGGGGGAACTCAATAACATGCCTCTACAATGTCGCCATGCGTGTGTCCACCAGCTACTCTGCCGCCTCCACCGGCCGGGGCCTGACCCGGCGGGGGACACAGAAGAGGGACATCGATGCGCCCTCCAGCTTCTCTCAGTGCTCGAGCATGAGTTCCCCGAAAGTTATCGCACCAACGGACAATGCGAAGCAGATGCAATATGGCTGCTCTTGAGAGGGGAGAGACTGGCTGAATACATCGACGGCATGAACCTACCAGCAGAAGAACGAGTACGAGGGGGACAAGAAGATGAGCATCCGGCCCTGCGGGGAGGCTACCAGTACCACGAGGGGAACGCGAGGGATGGAGCAATGGGGAGGCACACAACGCAAGCCGAGGATAACCGCCAAGACCAGAACAGCCACCCCGAAGACTTCGAACCTACTGCCTTGATGCAGACCTCGCTGAGGGGAAGATCCACGGGGGCGGCTCCCCCCGCACGACCAGCCGGAGACACCTCATGTACTTCCACCTCGACAACTACCACACCTCAACAAGGGGAAGACCCGGCCAGACCCACGACCCCAACAACACCAGCGAGGAGCAGAAGCCCATCCAGAAGGGGAGACAACCGCACCTTGACCGGTACCGGAGGGGAACAGCAAACCCCCAGTCCCATCCGCCGCGCGAGAAGTCAAGCCTCGCAGCTCCTGGCATCCATCACCTCCGAGACGCAAGCAGCGGCGGAACACGCCCCCAACGCCGAAGAGCTAGGGGGACAAAGACGCGCCGACGCGGCAGCAGAAGCGCTGGACCTCATCACGGAGGCAATGGGGATGGCCAACGACGTTGGAATGCCGGGGGTCGTCGATTACCTATCATCCGCAGCCACGAGGTTATCGCAACTCCATCTCATCCGGAGGCCGGGGACAAACCGCGGGGGAAGACCACTACCAACGCCCAACGCCTTCGAGATCGCAGCGCTCACAGTGGGGATCATGGAAGAAAGCGCACAACAGGGGGA